AAGGTAAGGCTTTGCTAATATTGCTGCAATGTAATGCAGTTCTGTGGCAAGAAAAGCATTTCACAGGAGCAGGACTGTCCCAGGTTCAGTGGGTACACATTTATAGCACCATGGCTGTTGGCAGGATGGCTCAAAACCCTGCAATGTGTTTTATAAGCTTAAATTAATCTGCAAAAAGTGACTTTTCTTGTTTGAATAGCCTGACTGTAATGTTGTTCAGAAATGGTAGCCTCAGTCTATTTACTTTAAAGATGGACAAACACCACCCCCAAAAGAATAACAAAGCCCTAAAGGAATGGCTTTTCCAAGAGGGACAGATGGATACGATGGATTCTGCACGTGCTGGACGTGCAGATCTGTCATCCAGTGCCTGCTCCTGTTGAACCTGGGTTAGATGTGTTGGTAGGGGTTGCTGGATGAAGACCTAACAAAATTCCAAGCAGCACAGGCAGGAGCTGCAGACAGCTCATCCTGTGGGATGCAGCTCTGGACATCAGTGTGTTTAATGGCATTTTAAACCAGTGGATTTGATCCTAAGGAAACAAAATCAGGGCTGTAAGTTCTTGAACAAGGAACACCAAAGCTTTGTTCTGTGTTTCAGCATTCACCAAAAGGCACACAAGAGGCTGGCTGTCATCAGGACTGTGTTTTCCAGAAGCCCCTTAAACCTGGGGAACAAGCAGGCCAGCGTCCTGGAATACCTGCCCACGCTGCGCACCATCTGCAGGGCTGAGAAGCTGAAAGAGCAAGGCAAGACTAAAAGAAGGTAAGTTCTGGTCTTCCCAAACCTTGCCTCATTCAGAAATAAACTTTGTTCCTTTACAATCACTTTTACTTTTCTTTTTTTTCTTTTTTTTTCTTTTTTTTTTTTTTTAGGTTCTTGCATTATCTGGAAGGGATTCATCTCGAAATACCCAGACAAATAATAAATGGTCTGTCTTTGGACTTCCCTTAGAAATCCTACTGCCAGAAATATTTGGTGCCTAATGGTGGTATTCTCACCATAGTTCAATTTTTTTTTTTTAAATCTTTTTTACCACATTATTGTATATTCAGAGCCATTTGTATATTAAATTTTTATAAGTATTTAAAATAATGTATATATCTATTGTCATGATATTTGCTCTCCACGGCTGAAATGTGGATTTGTTCGGTGCTGGTCCAAAAAGTGCATTTATCACGTTAAATGCACTGACTATTCCATGGGGACTCCTTCAGTCTGGGTGTCAGCAAGAAGTCCTTTTGTAGCAGCCACCTGTCCCAACTTCCACAGCAGAGGAGCCCATTTGGGTCAAGGAAGTTTGGTGCTGAGTGTGAGTGAGGTGATCACTGACTGGGGGTGGGAGGGGGCAGGAGAGGATGCCACAGGTCCTCTAAACCCAACTCCTCACAACAACCACAGGGAACAAAGGCCTTGCAAAGCACTCAGTGCCTCGATGGGCGTGCATTTGTTTACATTCCCTTCATCATTTACAGCTGTCAGATCTGCATGTTCATCTGAAAGGGTAGAGAAGTTATTGCTGTAGCTCCACATGGTCTCAGAGATTTAGGCAAGGTTTTGTAAATAACAATTATCCCAGTGTTACTGTGGGTTCAGGAATATTTAACTACTTTTAGGCTTATATATTGTGTTCTATTTTTATGCTTCTTTTTGTATTTGACAAGACTTCAGCCTGATTGTTTGGATTGATTCTGGTTTTGTACGACAATAAATTTGTGAGACTTTGCTACAACTTTGGATGTTTCTGTTGGATGAAAAGTAAGATTTCTAAAATGTTTTCAGTCCAGAGAGATGATTTTTAGAGGGTTTTAAAACTGGACTTAGTTCAGCCATGTACTTTTCTGCCTTTATATTGCAGTTGGACTGTTCCTGTTCCTCGAACTGAGTCAGATCCTGCCATGCAGTGCTGCTCCACTTACCTCAGTGCTCTGTAATAATAAGGAAGGCCATTTCCTAGTACATTCTCTACTCATCTTACCTTTTTTCATGCCTTAAAGGTGTTCAGGACTAAAAATATTTATGAAAACGGTAAATTATTTTAAGCTTCCACATTGTCGATAATCTTTGGGGTTTACTCTTTCCACAGTTCAGAATTAGCCAAAAATTAAAGTGGGTGCTGTTAAAATCTTAATGGGTTGATGATTTGTTGCATCGATGGTCTGTGCTCCTCCTGTACACTTTTGTAAAAATAAATAAATACACTTTTTTTTTTTTCAATAATAAAGCAAATCTGTTCACTGCTTTATAAAGGCACTCTAGCTAGATTACACTGGGGACATAAATAAATTGGAAACAGGTCCTATAAAGTATTATTATTTTAGGAAATGCATGGGAAATTTGAAAGACCCAAATCAGAAAGCAGTGGGAGACAATTCACCCCCTTTTGAAGTCAGCTCTCTGGTTCTAATAACTGCCTTAGCAAGGTGTTTGCAGAATCTCCTGTGGTGTCCAAAAGGGGTGGTGGAATTCAAGCATTTCACTTCTTGATCAGATCCTCGCCACATCAAATCACCTCGAGCTGCTCTGAGAGAAGATGATCTGCCTGGAATGATTGATTTGAGTTCTGAGAAATTACCAGCTTTGGATTTTGATGCATCAGGCCTGAGCATCTTTTGTCTGCTGGAGTGAAGTGAGTTTCCAGGAGGGATGGGCTCGAGGAAAAGGGCCCTGGGGCTGGTTTTGATTAACTCTGCTTGGAAGCTCCATCCGAGTACTGTGCAGTTCGCCTGCCTTTGATTCAGAAGAGTTTCCTGCAGCAGTTTGGGCCCTGCTTAGTCCTTTATCTGCTGCCCCTTGAGCTCCCTTGTGTGTCTTGGGTGGAATTCGGTGAAACCAGAAGTAAAACAGCCCTGGAGTTTCACAATGACTGCCCCTCTCAGCAGCAGTTATTAGAGGTGTTCAGCAATTGAAAAAGCCAGAAAACCAAGAACCCCCATTGCTCTTGTTGAAATCTCAGTCGAGTTCCAAGCTTTTCTTTCCCTTTACTGTCATTCCAGTCTTGCTTTCCAGAATGTAAATGAGGGTGACAAGATTTACCACCCTATGAGTAACAAAAAAAGCAGACTACCTCAGTCTTTGTAAAAGATAATATAAATAACCACTTTGCAAATCACTCAGATTCTTTCTTTTATTCCGCAGGAGTTGTAAGGACACCACAAAAATTGGTGCATGGCTTGCAAGAACCTGGGGAAAATGAAGTCCATGTTTATATTCCATGTTTATACACACCAGTTCCTAAAGGGTAAGTGCTGAAAAGAGATTCCGTGCAGGTGGTTGAACAACTCAGCTTTTCAGATATTCTGCTGCTGTTTGTTTTTCAACTGCACAATAGTTACAAACTAATTAAAGGTGCAATGCTACTTAGCACCTAAAAGATGGAGAAAATGTGTCAGAACTTTAAGCTGGTAACACCTGTAGTATTTAGTGTATAATGTGTCAGCACTGTCAACTGCTAACACATGCAGTATTTAGTCATCTACAAAATGACAGTGTTTTTACAAGATTGTACATAAACTTCACTGAAGAGGCATCAGTGTACTCTAGCAATGCAAATTAGCAATGCAAATTAAGTTTAGCCTGAAACTAGTAAAATGGAAAAATATTTGAACACCTCTTCATCTATGTCTGAATGAATTACCCTTGAAAAATCTTTCCCTCAGGTTTTTCTCTTGGTTGAAGTGAGTACTAAGCGACAGCCTTTTTGGCATTGGCTTTAACGTGGAAGAGGAACCGTCTCAGTAGGAGATGGAATTCTCGTTGGTCCTGGGGTGCTCCGTTGTCCCGGTGTTGAGCTGTGTGAGAACTCCCGGCTCGCTTGGGGACAGGGACAGGGTCAGGGTCAGGGCGGGTCCGGAGGTGTCGCGGCCCGGGTCCCCCTGCAGGGGGCGGCCCCGCCGGGCCGGGGCTGCGGGGCAGGACGGGCCGGGGCCGCGCCGGTTCCTCATTTCCCTCAGCGCTCCGCGCCGGCCCCGGGCGGAGATGGACCACGACCGCAGCAAGGCGCTGCTGCGGGAGCTGCAGAGAGCGAGCGGCACCGGCAACGACCGCTGTGCCGACTGCGGCCAGCCAGGTACGGGCACGGCGGCGCTGAGGGCACGGCGGGGCTGAGGGCACGGCGGGGCTGAGGGCACGGCGGGGCTGAGGGCACGGCGGCGCTGAGGGCACGGCGGGGCTGAGAGTCCTGCCGCTCTCGGCCCGGCCCGGCCCGCAGCTCCGTGTCCCGCGGGGAGGCAGCGGGAGGGTCGTGCGGGGCTGTTCCCGTGGCCACTGCCCCGGGACGCGGAGCGAGGGGAGGGCAGCAGGGTCAGGGAGCGGCCTCAGCACCGGCTGTCCCCCCGGGTTACCTGTGGACAGGCACGGGAGGACGAGGAGGGTGCGTGGGGTGGGTTTCCAGCCCGGGTTGGGGCAGAGAAGGGCAGCGAGGAGCCCGCGTGGGCGGGTCACTGGGAGCCAACTGCAGCTGGGAGAAGGCGACAAGGAGCTTCTGCTCAGTGTGATAAGGGAGAAGTGGAGGGTGGTGCAGACCGAGGAAATGGTCTCGCCAAGAGCATCGATGCACCTGTCGAGGCCACTCCGGGGACGCAGCAGCAGCAGCAGGCGAGAGCAGGAGCCCTCGTGGGCGCTGGACACGACTCCTCGCTGCAGGTGGTTGTACTGGGTTGTACTCTCGGTAGTACTCACTGCCCACAGCATCCTTCCATCGTTACTTCAGCAACAGCAGCTTTTCATGCAGGGCTAATAACTCGCTGAGCTTTTCCATCACCACTCACCTGCCTGCAGAGTCACATTGATTTTTAAAACAAACAGTCAGTAAAAGAACCTACGAATGCACAGTGTTCACTGTGGAAAGCAGGTGCTGTTCCCCTGAACACAGTGAAGTGAGAGCCACAAACAGTGGGGTGGGATTTGATGTATTATTACATGTGAAGCCTGGGCTGTGCATCAGATGTGCTTTTCCCCCATGTATTAGTTCATTCTTTCTGTTTGTATGTAGGTCCAGAGTGGGCTTCTTACAAACTTGGAATACTCGTTTGTATGAGTTGCTCTGGAATCCATCGCAATCTTCCTGGCATCACCAGAGTCAAATCCCTTGTGCTGGACTTCTGGGAGAACGATCTTATAGAGGTACAGAGGAAAAAGCAGTCATTCACTTAATCCACATTTCATCATAATCTCCTCTATCTCCTAATGCTTATTCCACCCACCATGGACAAGGGAACAGAGCCACACAGAACCAAGTTATCTCCATGGGTAACTTTAGGGGTTTTTTTGTGACCTGCTCAATCAATTGCAGTGATAGGTAGCTGTGTTTCTAACAGCCTGCTGTGTATTTTTATATACACAGTAACCTCTACTGTGGTTCAGAAGCCCCCAGGTTTTTCCAGGTAGTGTTTTCTATTCAGAAAGCAACACACCCTTCTTAAATATTGGTTCGGCCTCTCATCATTCAGTTCAATTGTGTTAATAATCACAGTTAATGTCTGGGAGGAGATAAAAGAACAGGGAGATCAGAATTAACTTTTCTCCTGATTTTCTTTAGTTCTTTTAATCGACAACCACAGTCTTGTATTCCTTCCCATTTGATCCAGAACTGTAAATACTGGAAGAGGCTCAGCCACCTACAATTTGCAAACTCCAGTGCTAAAGGGAATTTATAAATGCATGTAAGACACATTGAGAGTTACTCAGCAAAAAACACAGTGCTGTCTTTGATACAGGTTCCTGTCAGGGTATTGATTTGTAGCTGCACACCTGACTGTAACTTGTTTTGTATTTCAGTTCATGAAGAATCACGGGAACCTCTTTGCCAAAGCTAAATATGAGGCCAAAGTCCCTCCCTACTATTACATCCCCCACTCCAATGACTGCACGTAAGCTGATGGTTATTCACTGCTCAGACCTTCTCAGCTGCTGAGCTACTGCTCCCCCCTGCAGGTCCCTCTGGCTGGTGAAAACAGAGTAGAGGCAGATGAGCTTTACCCATGTTTTCCTCTTTCAGGGTTTTAAGAGAGCAATGGATTAGAGCTAAATACGAGCGTGAGGAATTTGTCGCCACCCGAGTCTGCCAAGACCCTTGTTCTGCAGGTAAAAGGATTGGCAGGGAGAAGGTGTCAGCCCTGCAGCACAGTGTTCTGTTCACAGCTCTGAGTGTCTGCCAGTGGCTTGGCACATCTGAACTGCTGGATGTGCAGTCATTGCTCTGGGTCTAACTTTGAGAAGAAGCTCCTAAGAAAAGGCACTTAGACAAGTGCAAGGTGTATTTGGATCTTACAGTTCTTTAGTTCTCCACTGATTTTTTCATACGAGGTCAAAATTCTCAGATGGAGAAGAGACTTGAAACTGTGCCATGTCACCTTTAGCTAAACAGTCCTGCTCTTGTGCCACCCTTCTCTGACACTTCTCTTGCTCTGCTCTGCAGAGAACCGTGAAGGATTCCTCTGGAAGCTTGGGCAGGGACGCAGACAGTTCCACAAGAGGAAATTCTTCCTGTCACCAAGGGAAGGGGTGATGAAGTACTACGGCAAAGAAGTGAGTTCCTGAGCCAGAGTAGCAGGTCACCATCCATCCTCAGACCCTGCTCTTTGCAGGCGAAAATCAGCATAAATAACTTTGTCTCTAGTTTTGCAGCCAGGACACCCTGTGCTTGCAGGAGTCCAAGTGTTTCCCCATTAACATATGTGGTATCTTTTGGATTTAGCCCCTTTCCTCATCCCTTATCTCAACCCCACAGCCTCCTTTTGCTTGGTGAACAAAGGAAATGGATGCTGGCAGTTGAACAGCAAGACAAAGATGTCTGTTGGCAGCTGTTACCTCTCACAGGACCAAAATACTCTGTCACCAACTCCTGCAGCATCAGCCCCAACATGTGTCCTCCTGTAGGAGACCAGAGCAAAGTGTTCTCCAGCACAAGGCTGAGCACAACCACCCCTTGCAGTGCCCACACATCCCTCAGAGAGTGTCCCAGCATTTGTCAGGGAGAGGGAATCACTCTTTGTAAGCCATTTTATGTTGCAAGTAATTAAGGGGTTTATGTTTCAGGTGTGTCCAATATTCAGGTATTTCAGGATGTCTGCTCTGTCTCCACCAGGGATCTGGTCCTCAGACAGCTGATCTGTCCTGCATCGCCTTCCCTGAGAGCACTTTAATACAGTGATGCTTTCCATTCTGCAGTGCACAGGTCCCAAGGCCATTATCAGCATGGAGACCCTGAATGCAATGTTCCAGGAAATAAAAATAGGACATTCCCACGGGCTGCAGATCACCTACAGCACAGATGGGCAAACAAGGAACCTGTTTGTCTACCACGAGAGTGGAAAGGTGAATATGCTGGAGATGTTGGAATAAGCAAGCTGCTTAGGTGTTGGATCTGTGATTTGGAAGAGATGCCCTGTTTCTGCAGGATCTGGTTTTATTTGGAGTCACTAAGACCTGTAGAAGATAGAAAATGGCAGAATTTGACAATAATAACTGTAGCACTTTGCTCCTCTTCTCTTGGGCCGTATATTCAGCTTCACCCCCTGGATGGTCTTAAGGCTTCAGTGGTGCACTGATGTAAATCTCTGGCAGGTAACTGCCCTCTGGTTTTAAACAATTCTGTGGTTATGTTCTGTTTCCCCCAGGAGATCGTGGACTGGTTCAACGCCATCCGGGCAGCGCGGTACCATTACCTCAGAACAGCCTTCCCCAAGGTCCCTGAGCACGAGGTGAGAACCCTGCAGGGCTCCGAGCAGGCTGGGCAAACACAGCCTGGCAAAACACGCTCTCACTTCTTCTGCCAGAGGCAGGTGCTCAAAGAGCAGCACTTGGGTCTTGGGAATGGACTGGAGAGGTAGAAGGAAGGGCCACGGTGGATAACGTGCCAAAGCTCAGCCAACATTTAAGGGCTAAAAGTCTCCATGTGATCCTTATGAAGTGCAGTCTTTCAAAAGTGTTATGTTCCTTTTTACTTCAGACTTCCCTTTACTGAGCAGCCAAAAAAACCCCGACCCCAAAAGCCACGATTGATGGTGAATAACCTTGACAGAAACAGAGCAGAAATCAAGCTAGAATGACACATACTGTGCTGGTTTTGGCTGGGACAGACACAGAATTTTTTGTGTTTGTGTTCTCCTAGCTCATACCCAGGATCACAAGAAATTTTGTCAAAGAAGGATATATGGAAAAAACAGGACCAAAGGTAAGTGCACACGTGGCAGCACACAAACAGGATCATTGCAGGTACAGAATATTTGGTAATTCTGTGATGTTGCTTAGTACAGGGCTTGCTCAGTGACTGTCTGCTTCCATTGACAAAGCCTGTCACGTTCTTTGGGATCACATTTTATTTTGTGTGGAAAATGAGATGGGGGAGAAGAATCCTTGAAGAGTAAGCAAGATGGATTAGCTGGCAGTGGGACATGCAAAGTGCTGTTACACAACACTCCATGGATTGCTGTGTCTGCCAAGTGCAGCTCCTGCTAGAACAGAACATCACATGCTGACCCCCCTACTTCTCTGTTTCACTTACAGTCACATCTGCCTAGAGCAGCACAGTGCCACTGAGAACATTTCTCCCCACTGAAGCCAATGGTTTGGTTTGGGTTATTGTGGGAAAGTATTTGGGTCAGAACTCCTTGGAAGAGGAGGGTGAGGTTTGGGGCACTGCTGAAGGAGGAGATGAAGGTCTGAGGTCCTGTTTGAACCCGGCCACTTCTGGCCTTGCTCTCCTGAGTGAGCTGTGAGCCAAAGTGCTGTTATGAGGCTCAGGGGTGCAGTTCTGATGCTGAATGTGCTGGGGGTTGGCCCAGCTTGTGCCTGTGTCCCAGCACCTCTTCTGCAGGTGTTTGCACACAGCATGAGAGGTTGTGTGTTCTCCTGAGGCCTCAGTTCTGCTCAGACTGAAGTGAGCCCTAGAAGGGGCCTCTGCAGTTCAGCCCAGAGCAGTGAATAGCTCAGGAATGGTCAGATAAGTGTAGTGACTGGAATTAGTGCTTTTAGACAGACCCCAGTCTTCTGCACCCCAAAATTCTAGGGGCACCCCCCGAGCAAACTGTTGAAGTTGATTGCACGCTCTTCTTACACAAACTCCAGGGATTGTTCTCTGCAGAGCTTCCAATGCATTTTCTGCAACTTAATCCTGTTAATTTGATCACTGGTAGAACCAAACTGCCCTGGCCTGCCCAAGGGGTTGTGATTGAATGCAAATTTGTAGTTTGAGCCCAGGGAGAAGAGGGCTGAGAGCACAGCAGCGACTCACCTGAGCCAGTCATGGGGCTGAAGGAAACTGAACTCAAGCTCCAAGTCACTTAAGCAGTCCAGGGATCTGAATAGACCAAACTCCTCCCAGGGACTTGGTCTTCAAAGAACTTCTACCATCTCCTTGCAGCACAAGGAGGCCTTTAAGGGACGCTGGTTCAGCCTGGATTCTCAAGAAAGGAACCTGATGTACTTTAAAAACCCACTGGTAAGAGGAGTGTTCTTCACTGTTCCACATCCCCTTCAGGAAGTGGGTGGGGAGGAAGGGTCTGTTCTCATCCAGTTCTTCCAGAGCCTGTGCAAGACTGGAGCAGGCTCAGCCTCAAGAGCCCATCTCTCCTGTCAGTGGATGCCTCTGAGCTCTTTGGAGCTCTGGCCCATCCAGTGGCTGTGGGGAAGATCCAAGTCTTTTAAAAGCAGCTGTTACTGCCTGTAGCATTAATGCCCACTCTCTCCCAGCCCTAGTGCCTGTAACCTTAGGCAATAACAGCCCTGATATTCTGCCTTCTAGCACTGCTCTGGCCATGGGAATATCCTCCCCTGCTCCTTCTGAATGCCCATCAACCAGCTCTGTAAGGATGGGTCCCTACCTACAACCTCTGGTGTGTTTCCTGCTGGTGTCACCAAATCAGTGTCCCTCCAGGCATCCCCAGAGCCCATTCCATGCCAAACACAGAGCAGAGCCTGCTGGAGCTGTGCTGTCCACTGGTTAATGGCTGTCTTCTGCTTCCCTCTTTCCAGGATGAGTTTGCACGGGGCCAGATTTTTCTTGGAAGGAGGGATGAGGGGTATGAAGTACGACCTGAGCTGCCCAAGGGAATCCGCATGAAGAAGAGGAAACCAGGGATCATTCTGGTCACTCCAGGGAGAGAGTTTGTGTTTTTGTGCGATAACGATGAGAGGCAGAAGGAGTGGATTGAGGCCTTGGACAGAGTCATCTCCCAGCACTGATGTCCACAGGGAGGAGCAGACTCAGGCAGCTACATCCCATCTGGCTGCAGCTCCTGTCCACACAGGGACAGGGTTGTTTTCAGCAGAGTGGGTTCAATGTCTTTTTACACTGGCACAATAAAAATACACAAGTCAAGTTTGAACTGTGGAGGATGCTGTGATGGAACCACTCTAATGGAATCACACAGATAATCCCAGCTCCTTGCTTTCAGCATTTCCTGCTGTTTGGCTTTTTTATGAGTGGCAAATCCAACTCGTGAGGACAAAATTTTTCCAAAGCACAACAAACCCACACGGTGCCCCAGCAAACACCTCGTGAGCACAGGATGAACATGTGCTGATCTGTCTCACCTAAAACCAGATGAAGCTTAATGAGCTTGATTAGTCTGAGCACTGAAAGGCAGAAACTGGTTTTAAAAGTGTTGTCTTCAGTGACTTGCTTGAGTACACTCACCGAGTGGGGACCAGTTCTCAGCGTTGGGGGTAAGTGCCTCCTCATCAGGTACCCCTTGTGTCCACTCGGGGCAGGACTGATGGACACTTGCCCTGACTGATACAGTGCTCTGAGTGTTTCCTCAAGACCAAGTCTGAGGTCTGGTTCTACCAAGCAGAACGTCATTGAGATATTTAATTCTTTCCAGATAGCCTTAGTTTGCAAATCAAGAGGAAGTCTTGCAGACCAAATTTCTGGTGAGGCTTCCACCTCTTGCTGACTGTTGCCAGCCCGTCTGAGACACTCAGAATAGTTCTCCTCTTCTGCAGAAATGAGGAAGTGCCAATTCTTGCAGGAATGAGTGAGATTAATTCTTCTCTCCCCCCAACAGTGCAAAAGAATTGAGTTGGATCATCACTCTGCCTGTCTCAGCCAGCTCTGAGCAATCTGCAGCAGTTTTGCCTGCTGATATCCTCCCATGAAGCTCGCTGTGCTCCCGCTCTCCCCACACAGCCTGATTCAGTCTGCTTCCCATGCTGGTTCAGCATATCTGTCAAGCAGCCTAATCCTGCAGCTCCCGAAATCAATAGAAAGCACCCTCTGACTTGTTCAAGGAACAATGGCTTCTTCGTTTGGTCTGTCGGGTTAATTGTTATTTTGAGATGACCTGAGTAGCCCAGGATGACCTCAGAAGGGTTCAGTGCATCCCGTGGCCTGAACTTGCCACGGGTGGGGGGCTCTGCTGGGCTGGACTGGGCTGGGCTGGGCTGGGCTGGGCTGGGCTGGGCTGTGCCCCTGGCTGTCCCGGCCGGGTCAGCAGACTGCCCATGTCAGCGACTCACTGCCACAAAATCGGGAAACTCACGGTGAAAATGAAACCCTGCCGCTAACGGGGACTTTTTTGGAGAGTCAAGACGAGTCTAGGCCAGGCCCAGGACACTCTGCATCACATTCCCATTCCCACAGTCAACCCGAATTCTGGGAACGAGTCGCAGCGGAGGAAGCGCTGACCGGCACCGGGCTGAGCGCCGGGAGCTCTGAGGGAGCTGATACCGGAGGAGAGGAGGAGACAGGGCAGGGCAGAGCCCAGCCCAGCCCGCCCCGCCCCGGCGCTCCCGTTTCCCGGAGGAGGCTACCGGGGAAACCGAAAGTGTGGGGTCGCTCCTGCCCGCCGGGCCATGGCCGCTGCCATCGAGCTGGAGCGGCTCCTGGCCGCCGTGGAGCTGAGGTGCTCCTTGTGCCTGCAGTTCTTCTGGGAGCCGGTGCGGATCGCGGGCTGCGGCCACAGCTTCTGCCGGCGCTGCATCAGCCGCTACGGCGCGGGCCGGCCCGAGACCCCCTGCCCGCTCTGCAGGGAGCGCTTCGAGCTCCGCCACCTGCGGCCCAACCGCGAGCTGGCCGCGCTGCTCCGCCTCATCCCGCCCCAGCTCAGGGACGCGCTGGAAACCCGGGATGAACCCTCTGGAGCTGCTGACTGCGGCGACCGGAGACGGGAGAAGGTACTGCTCGAGCAGCGCGGGGCTCCATCCCTCTGTGTCCCGGGACAGCCCGGGGCTCCATCCGTCTGTGTCCCGGGACAGCCCGGGGCTCCATCCCGCTCCATCCCGGGACAGCCCGGGGCTCCTTCCCGCTCCATCCCGGGGCCCCATCCGTCTGTGTCCCGGGACAGCCCGGGGCTCCATCCCGCTCCATCCCCGGCACGGTAACACAACAATCACCGTAGGTTGAGCAGACGAGTTTAACTGAAACAGTGTTTGGGGTTCTTTGGTGTGTCTGACACACTGAGGGCTGCACGGCTGATTTAGAAGAACTGGTATCTGTACGTATTCAGCTGATGTACGACGGTATTAAGTGACTGTTCTCGTTTCTGGGCGTTACTGACTGCATTAGCAGTGCACTGGAGACGCCTGAAAGGACACACAACATTGTTACACGGTGCTACAGCTCCACCCAGCTTCGTGGCACAGAATAGGACCGGTTCAGTATCTGCATCTCTGCTTAAAATAACTCCCAGACTTGGAGGCGATGGGGAAGAATATTTCAGCACATATGTATCTAAAAAAAAACTCTTCTTCAGTCAAACAAAGAGCTGAAGCTCACAATTGTATTTGAACATGCAATTGGTAACTGTTGCATGTTGACTTCACTGTGATTATTCCTGCTCAGAATTGTGTCCTCCAGGCCCCTCCTCAACCCATCCAGTGCCTGTAGGGATGTTTATATCTTGCTGCTTAACTTAGGCTTTCTTTGAGAGTTATGTGGATAAATGGTCCAATGTGTCACTTTAAAGGAGGAAGAGATATGGGAAAGCTCCAAGCAACCAGAAATATCTGCAGAGACCATCCCCCTGTTGAGGAGAGACCTCGATAAAACCAAGGTACCTGTTGTACATCCATCACCTGCAGTTACCTTCTGCTTCCACTGCTCTGGGCTGGAGGTGTGACTGACTACAGGGCAGCCTTCCAGCCCAGAGCAGGAATCTGCCTTTTGGTTTCCCTCTTTTCTGTCACAGTTCTGTTTCTGTTGATGAGAATGAACCGTGGCACCAGCTGCACTAACTCCTGTCTTGGCTGGCACAAAGGCCTCTGGAGCTCTGCACTGTTGCCTTTTTGTGCTTATCCCAGGAGTAGCCTGAGTGTTTCTGGTCCTCTCAGATGCAAATACAAATCATGGAGGGAATATTGATCTTTCTGAGTTGTCAAGAAAAGTCTGCTGGCCATAAAATAGTTAAAATCCTTAACATGCCCAAAATCTCATTGCAGGTAATGCAGGAATAGTCTCATAGTCAAATGTATTTTCTTCCTTTGAATAAAGTTTTCTGGTCTGCAGGGGTCACTCGAAGAGCACATTAAATGGGGCAGTAGATTCTCAGATTTCATCTCTCCCAACCACACAATGAACTCCATGTGTTCTGCCTTTCAGGAATACACCTCTCAGATCAAAAGCCAGATTACTCGAGATTTCTGCTGCATGAAGGAATATGTTGAGAGACAAGAGAGAAACACACTGATGTTCATTGAACAAGAGCAAAAAGCTGCTCAGCAGAAGATTGAAGAGACCATTCAGCAGCTCACAGACAGCAGAGCCCCAACTGTAAGTGATGAAATGAGTGGCAGGATATGAGTAGAAGCTCTCGGGCTGGGGATGCAATTCCAAACTAGATTTGTTCCCAGGGCCTTGGTGAGCTGAAGTGAAGTGGCCACTACATTGCTTAAGTCCAGTACTCAGTCAAATCTGAAGTTAAGGCTGTTTTGTTTTCCAGAATTCATATATACAGTGAGTGTGCAAGTTGAAGAACACACAGAGTTTGAAGTATTTTGTAACAACTTTCTTGGGGAAAACACATCAAGGGCCCTCGAAAGAGGCAGTTAAAGTACTTGAGGTTCTGCAGAGCCTGCTCTGATGTTGAAAACAGCAGTGCCAGGGATGCAGGTCAGCCAGCAGGAACTTGGAGTGGGGCTCACTCTCAGTTTTCTGAGGGAAAACAGAGTCTTTTTATTTTTTAATAAGAATAAACTATGCTTCCCTATTTTCTCTAAGGTTTCAGGTTAGTTCTCTCAGGTAACTATCCTATAAAGGAAACTCTTGATACAAAGGATAAGATTTTTGCAGAGAGCACTGCTGTTTTTCCACTCTGCCTTTATCAAATAATTGGTCTGCTAGATGAAATAACTGCTGTTGTTTACATCTTTCCCTTGATCCTTTTGTCATTATTAGAGTAACTTACCTTGCATTGGTTCACTTTCAATAATGAATAAAATTACACTTGACAAGAAGCTTCATGTTGTCAAAAGTGCTGTAGAAGATCTTAAGAGAAAGTTGGAAGTGTTACTTTTGGAGAAATACCCTCAGCAATTCCCACCAGGTGAGTTTCCCTTATTTTGAAATGTCTTTCTTAGAGGGAGTGGATGTAGCAGATCAAGTAAAAAATTACTCTGTGTTCATGAAATGCACGTGCAAGTAACACAAGAAATATGTGATACTCAGAAAAAAAATTAAGAACACTTTAAAGACTTTTATGACAGAAAATGGTGCAACTGCATAGGAAGATCCAACTGCTTTACCCATCTCCTCTTCTGGCTGCTCCCTTCTGACACTCAGGGCAGCAGCATACAGTGTTTTGGTAATTTTGGGTACAAATGTTTGCCTACACGTCCTTTGATAATTTATACAACCTAAAAAATCAACTCTTTGTTTTGTACTTTATTCACTGGCTGGGTTTATTTAAGGTGTGTTTTCCTTTAGAAGAGGAAACACTTCCTGTGTACATTTTGAAGAAATGCCTTAACACTTCTTTCATTTTTTGTATTTAGTGCAACCTCCAGACTCGCATCAGGAGACGAGTGTCTGCTCCTCACCTCCGGAGCCTGCAGCTGAAATTCCACACCCGGGCATTCCAAGTCAGTTTTCTCAGTGTAAGTGTCCAGCAGGACTCTTGCTGACAGCACTCAGGTGACTGTGAGGCTGTAGCTTAAAACAGAAAACAAATGTTTTTGCTGATAAAATAAGTGGGAATGTGTCGCAGTGAACAGTAAGTAAGTTTTATTAAGGTAAGCATCCCATTTGTTATTGATAACAAGGTAATTTTTTTAAAAGGCTTGTGGTTAGGACGAGGATCCACCCTGTAGGGTGCAAGGTACCTTCACCCTCCCACTGGAGTGCCCGAGTGTGTCGTGGACATTTCCACAGCTGTGCCTGTTAAACGTTGCAGAGAGCCCAGGCTGTGAGTGTTGGGCTGAGGATTCTTGCTGACCTGCAGGACTGAGCTTTGAGTCAGGTTTATTGTGTGATCACTGGGGTTTCCTGTCTGTTCTTGTTGCCTGCAGGTGAGAATGTTTTCCCTTCTCCCTTGCAGGGGCAGAGGACGTGACCTTTGACCGCACGAGAGCTCACGAGTACTTGGCCCTCAGAGCCCAGAACAGGAGAGTGGTGGTTTCCAGCCACCCCACCTGCTATGAACCATCTCTCAGGAGGTTCTGCATCAGCCAAGTGATGTGTTCCCAGAGCTTCTCCACTGGGTGCCACTACTGGGAGGTGATTACCGAGGGCAGCGATGGATGGGCCGTTGGAGTCGCTCATGAAACGATCGGGAAGAGGGACAAATTGGGAAGAACGGAGCATTCCTGGTGTGTGGAATGGCTGGGTTCCAAAAAGCAGCTCTCAGCCTGGCACAAAAATCAAGAAACGTTGCTACACAAGGATAAACCGCTGAAGGTTGGGGTTTTCCTGGAGCTCCAAAAGCAGACGGTGTCGTTTTACTCTGTCACTGACACAGAAATGCTCTTGCACACCTTTGACCTCAGCACCTCCCACCCTCTCTATCCCGCCTTCTGGCTGTTCAACCTGGAAAAAAACGGATCTTTAACTCTAACTCACCCAAACAGGAGATAAAGCTCAGAAAAGGGACCGTTTTGCCAATGACTTCTATCCAAGCTTCATTGTTTAGCACAGGAATTTACCAAGGAGTGCATTTCCTGGGAGTCAACAACTGGCTTTTGCCTGCTCTGCCTCTCTCCATGCTGTGCTCTGGTCTAGCCGTGCTTCAGTAAAACAATTCCAGTGTCTGCTGAAGGCAGGAACCATCCCTGTGGGGATCAGGTGGATTTCTTAAGCAGCTTTAAGTGGTCCCAGGATATTCCTGGGAAGGAATGCACCAAGGGAGCTCTAAGGCTGGGGATAAGCCTTGCTCATGGACCTCATTTTTCCTACACTGATCTAAAAAAATACAAAGCAGAGGATGCCATTACTTTCTGTCAAGTGAGATTTCTTTGGAAAGATCTGAGTGAGTAAGGAATGCTCAGAGGGCAAGAATGTTACTGATCTCAGGCATGAAAATCCATTTCTTTAGATACTAAACTACAGGAAATAGGCTTTGTATTTCAGGACGTGACACTTTGGGTCCCAGAAGATCATCTCCATGGCACTGTATTTTAGTCTTGCCCACACCAAAGGGTATTTTTCAGTCCTGGTGGTGGTGTGACCACGGGAATGGTTGTGGAAGCAGATGCTCAGAGGTGTTTATGCCAGCTAATAAATCCATGGCTTTTAAAGTGACAGAACTGCTGGTCCTCTTGAGGGTTACTCTGTGCTGTCACTGAACACTCTGAGAGCACTTTGGGCAAAATGCACATTGGTAAGATCCCAAAGGCAGGTACATCAGCTCTTCCAAGGCTGGGGCAGCTCTCCCAGTGTGGCTAATGCTGCTGCCCTGTTTGGATTGAGATGTCCTCTCCTGCTCCACCTGGAAAAGCAGCACTGGCCTGAACTCACTGGGCATCTCTAATTTCCCACATACAAGTTGTGCTGCGCTGCCCGGGGGCAGCAATTTGTTTGGATCCCAACAACACACGTAATAACACACAGAACGACACACAGGGACCCTCATCTCTCTGAGGGCACCGAGCCAGGGCAGCGCTGCTTTATCACACTTCTTTATCCCTGTATTCTGTGGTATGATGGCCCACGGCCTCTGGGGTTTGTCTGGTTGTTGTTTTTTGGTTTTGTTTTGTTTTTTTTAAAGGATATGTTTTTACCCTGCCTGAGGTGTCACAGCTCAGAGAACAACCTGTCATCCGCAGGAAATCTCTTTAGAAAATTACAAGCGAGCCCAGCTATTCGCTGGGCTGTTTTACTGAACATACACCGCACCAAGAGCATCTTACCAGACAGACACTTGTCACCTCGTGAACCTCTGAAGTTCACGAAGACAACAGGAAATCCGACTGCAGAGTGACAGGGAGAAGGGGTTGGAGTTTCTTCCCCCTCACAGCAGATTCCGGCACCAGCACACGGAATCTTCACCTCCCTGAGGGCACAGACCGAGCCGGGGAGCGCTGCCCCGGGAGGAACGAGCACACAGATCCTTCACAGCCCGTCCGTGTGAGCGCAGCCCCGGGAGGAACCAGCACACGGATCCCGCACAGCCGCTCCGTGTGAGCGCAGCCCCGGGAGGAACCAGCACACGGATCCCGCACAGCCCGTCCGTGTGAGCGCAGCCCCGGGAGGAACCAGCACACGGATCCCGCACAGCCCGTCCGTGTGAGCGCAGCCCCGGGAGGAACCAGCACACGGATCCCGCACAGCCGCTCCGTGTGAGCGCAGCCCCGGGAGGAACCAGCACACGGATCCCGCACAGCCCGTCCGTGTGAGCGCAGCCCCGGGAGGAACCAGCACACGGATCCCGCACAGCCCGTCCGTGTGAGCGCTGCCCCGGGAGGAACCAGCACACGGATCCCGCACAGCCGCTCCGTGTGAGCGCAGCCCCGGCCGGACCATCCTCCCGCTCCCCGCGCTCCCTGAGGGGCGGGGGCGGTCTCCGCGCAGCCGCCGGCGCGGCGGGTCCCTCTCGAGCCGCCGTAGCTCGGTGAGGGGAGCCCGGGCAGCCTTGGCCCAGCGGCGCCGCCGCCCCGCCCGAGCTGCGCGGCCCGGGCGGGCCCGAGCGCGGCCATGAAGAAGGACGTGCGGATCCTGCTGGTGGGAGAGCGTGAGTGCGGCGGGGCCGCCGGCCCGGCTGTCACGGCGGTGCCGCGGGGCTCAGCCCGGCCCGGGCGCTGCGGGGCAGGGCAGGGCAGCGCCGGCCCGGAGGGGCGGGCGGGGGTCGGGGCTCCGGTGGCGCTCGGAGCTGCCCCTCGGCTCCCCGAGCCGGGCAATTCGCGGAGTTGTGCGGCTTGGACGCCCCTGGAGATGACACCGGGGGGGAGGAGGTTCCTGGCCGGCGTTTGGCAAGAATTTGGCCTGTTCAAAGTTATTTTCCTTTTTTTTTTTCTTTCTTTTCCCACGTTCCCCCTTTATTTTCCTTTTTTTCTCTCCTTTTTCCTTCCTTACCTCCTTTTCCTTTTCTTCTTTCTTTTTTTTGTTTTTTTCTTTGTTTCTCCCCCCCATGGAAACCCAGCTCGCATCTTTCCTTTGACTGCCTTTGGGAATCAGTGGCCTGATGCTCCAGCCGGTTATATGTATACATTTAACTATATTTATATATATGTATGTACGTATATATGGTATGGATTTGTACCCAGGGACCCCGCATCCCCTTTTCCTGCCTTTCCCTCGCTGTATGACCTTGGATAAGCAGCTCGGCCGTGTGCATGCCGGAGGGACCGTGGGGCCGCGTTTTCTCGTGTACTCCCAAAATCACGTCCTTAAGTTCTCACTGAGCTGCCCAATAATCGGCAAGGCTCGCGGAGACGCTGCTGCTCACCGGTGCTCGGGGAGGTTCTGCTCGGGTAGTTTGCAAAGTGAGCTTAAGTTCCTCACGGGGAAAGAACAGAGAGTAATTACCAAGCGTTATTAGTAAAAGTGGCTAATTATGCTGAGAATGCGGTGCTGCTAACAAAGCTTTCCTGAGCACTGAATGCCCCATATATATATATTTATATATATTTATAGTGCAGTTTGTGCAGTTGTTTTATGGTGCAGGGTGGCTCTGTCTGTGCTGCCTGGAAAGATTCTCAGTGGCTTCTCCAGAGGGGAATGAATCTTCAGGGAGCTGCCACTGTGCAAAAAGAGCTCACTCACCGGCGTTGTGGGTGGTTAGTTTTGCATGACTCTGTTTAGGAATGTATTTATGCATTTGAATACACAGTTTCATTCCTCTGTAGAATACATGCCTAATTTACCTCATTCATCTGAGTGCTGAACTGGTTCAGGGCAGTGGTTTCAGCACAGGTGTAACAGGTGCTTTGTTTTGGCAGCAACGTGTCCAAGTGGGAATTTAAAATGTAAATTTAAATATAGCAACTTATAGTAGGTGGCACACATCAAAGGTTGTCAGCGCCTCTGTATTGTGTTTTTGTTGGACTTGTAGCAATCAGAGGGGAGAGATTTGTTTCACAAATCAGTAGAACTCGTCAGTTATAGTGTCAGTGCTGCTTTGGATCCCTGTCTCATGTGTGTTTGTTCATCTGAAACCACAGGTTAGTCCAGACCATCCAAAACTTGTTAGGTGGTAACAGCAGATCAGGTTCAGGATCTGAAATGTGTGAAGAACTGTTATTGTGAGCCTGTTCCAAAACAGCCTTTTTCATGCCTCGTCTTCTACAGTTTAAGGTTGGTTTAATCCTTATAGCCAGGGTGCAAACATCAGTTTTTAATAGCCAGTAATTTTCAGAGTATGTTCAGCATTGTTATTTTATGCAGCATGATCTAAAAACCTCACATATGAGGAAAAAGATGATTTAATTACCCCAAGGTGCTGCGTTTCCTTCATCCCAGTCAGCTGGTGCTGTTTGGGCTGTTCTTTCTCAGACTGTAAACAGACTGGGAAAGGCAGAGGGCTGACCCAGATTCCAAGAAAATAACCCAAATCTCTGCACTTAGAACCTCCTATGGATTTTCGTAAAACTCTGGGACGCTGGGAAGTGTATCAGGAGCTTATAAACACTGAGCATTTACTACCCAGCAACACACAGCCTTCTGTTTTCAGCCCTGTGGAGTGAGTTTCTGTATCTGCAAAGCCAGTGAGTTTTAGGTGAGAACTGCCTTGGTCAGGTGCGAAATGCACAGCACTATTTTCAATAATTGTCTGATAACTTACCTTTTTTTCCTGTGGAAATAGGAGAGCTTCCAAAGCTCTTTTGATTCTATCAGGATGAAATTTTAAGATGCAGCTGATGCAGGAGGACACCTGGCAGTATAAATTAGAGTTTTAGCTCACAGGAGTATCTCTGATGCAAACATCACCACATTGCTGGTGGGAAACCTGCAGCTTGCTGCTCTCCAGGTGGTACCACTGGGGAAAAGTTTAAGGCAGTTCTCCCTAAGGAAGACAGAAATCTTACTCCCTAGAGTAACTTTTCTTTGCTTTCCATAATTTTGTAACAGCTATCCTTCAGCTTACCACGCTGAAGAGAAGGTTTTATTTCTGGAGGTCAGAAGGCCCTTTGGACTATACCAAAAATAGATTTAGATAAGTTGAGTGGAGCCTGATTCGCTCATCAGCTCAGTAATGCCATTTCCTGCACAAAATCAACCAGTTGTCCAATTCCAGCTCTTCCCTCATACTCAAATTATACACAATTAACCCAGAGGAGTGTAAATGCAGTGACAGCAGCCAAACACCTTCTGTGCCTGCTGGCATTTCTGCTGGTTTGGTGGGGACAGTGACCCAGGCTCTGAGCAGTGCCTGGCTTGGGAACACAGAGGTGCTGTCACATCCAGGATTAAACAGGTTTTTCCCTGAACTGAGAGCTGTTGGAAATATCCCATCCCAGATAACGTTTGAATCTGATCATATTATTTTTTAATATGTCTCAAAACCAATAGTCTTTCAAGGCTTCCAAAGGGAATAGGGAATTCACAGCTGGAGGGCTTTTCAGGGAGAAAAGTTACCAACTCTTCATTTTAAATGGTCACATTAAAGCTGCTCCAACCCAAGCAGCTCAGCTGTGACATCAGAAGCCTGAACCTTGCAGGTAAACAAAGTCATTTATTTGATAGAATGGAGCTGGATATTGAAGTAGAGCTGGTCATCTGGGATCAAGAAAGCTGTGACTTTAGGAAGGTTGGTGGTTTTGGTGGGTTTCCACTTCTTGGTGGGACCAGCTCGTTTGTGACAAGGAGATGATGTTCTTGCACTTCCAAATAATCAAACTGTTGGAGGCTTTGTGCACTGCCAGTAGAGCTGTGTCTTCTTGTCCAGTTCTCATCCTTGGTAGTTCAGGCCTGGAGCACAGTCATCATATCAGGAATGCTGTAAAAATAGTTAATTTCTAAATATTTTCTGTGTGCCACCTTGGTTTCTATTTCTGAAGTTGCATGGAAGTGTTTCTGGTTTGTTTTGGTTATTTGTTGGTTTGGTTCCATCTTCTGTGTTAAGGTTAAAACCTGATAATCCTTTAATGTGAGAGCAGAATTTGGTTCCCTTCTGGATGAAATGCAGAAGTGTGAGAGGGATCCCCAGGTTTTCCAGTAAAAGAATCGTGAGAGCGTCGCTGTCATCCACGCTTGTCTGATGAAACAAGAGAGAAAAAGCTTTGAATGGGGCCAGTTGGAAAATGTTTTTAAAATCTTCCCCTTTCAAGATGGGATACAACTACTGGGTGTAACAAAACAAACATCTAATCTGTGTGTTTAATGCTTTTGCAGCCAGAGTGGGGAAGACATCACTAATTATGTCTCTTGTCAGTGAAGAATTTCCAGAAGAGGTAGAGCATTCTTATTTGTTTTTTAAGTTTTGTTTCTATCCTGTTGTATAATTCTTTTTTCAAAGAGTTAATGGGCTCTGCTTTAAAGTAAGGCTTAGAAAAAAAAATAAAGTTTACAACTGCAATGGGGACTTCAGAAAGAGTGATGTAGGTTTTAATATGGAAGATGTAGTTTAAATGTAGAAGATTAGAAATTTCAATTTTATCTGAGTTCCTTTCTTGGTTTTCAGATGGTTAATTCAACTGATTGTTTTGTATGTGATGAATGTTTGGGTTTTTTGTATTTAAAGGGCAAGTAGATTGAAAAATTATTAAGAATGAGGAATCAAAAAGTCACATTGTATAACTTATCTTTAGCCTTTTTGGTAACTAAGCAAGACACTGCCTTCACTTCTGCCTTTGAAGAATGTTTCACTGACTCTCTTGAAGTAAAAAACACCAACAACTCTTCCAGCTTTCTCCCAAAACAAAAGTATAGCCAATACTTCATATTAATCCTTAAAAAAGCAGCACACACTTCTCTGTGTGCCACAAAAA